GAAATTCCCGATTACTTGCATGGCATAAATCTCTCTCTTTAATATACCTAAAACATCCTCCCACCCAAAGATGCACATAGTAATTGTGCTAGAAGATAGCTCACATTAACCTTACTAAGCAGCATCCCTTTTAATGGACTGAACATTGCCTTAATGGCTTGCAAGTTGGAGTTACATAGGGGAGTACGATTTTGGGGTTTCATTTGTGGAAATTGACGTCTTTGTCAGTGACACCTGGGATATGGGAGATTTTTGATAGAAATTCCAGGAAACTCAGATTCCTGAATACACACCGAATTGTAAATACACATTATGGGTTACTTCATGTTAACTAGCTCCGGTGGTATAGTGCCTAAGGCATTTGACTGCCAACCAGAAGCTGGCGGTTCAAACCCACCAGCCCCTCCTCGGAAAGAAGATTGGGCAATCTGCTTCCGTAGCGATACCACCTCAGAAACCCAAGGAGGGGTTGCTAAGAGTCGAATTGACTTGACAGCAGTAACTTGACACTGAGGAGTAAAGATATGTTCTATTAAGCAAAGTCCCAGTGTAGTCTCCATGCTTCTCCCCACACCACATAACTGAGCCATATAAGCAATTAGAGAATTCAGGTCCCCATGAAGCTGACATTCCAGAGTAACTAAAGGAACTTCATGGGCACAAGAACATAAACAGAGAAAACAATAAAACACAGTAAAGAATGCCTTGAGGGAAATCTAATAAGGCAATAGCAAAGGAAGTAAGGAAGTAAGGTGTGTAGAAGTGCTATATTAGATCAGAAAAGGCTAATGTGAGGTGATGTTGGACTGAGACCTGAACAAAGAGGTTGTTTCTCAAGCCTGTAGGACATCTAAATCACTGCAGAATCACCTGGTGGGTAAAAGTGTTCTACTACTTTTAAACCTCAACAAGGAGAGCTCATAATCAATTGTGAAATAAGAGGTTACTTTTTACTTCAGAATTTCCCTTTTCCTGCTACAAGTGCTTTACAGAGTAAGCTAGGCCACCCTTGTTCTTTACAAAGTAGAAGTTAAAGCCCCTGAAACAAAAAACCCTAAGTGGCATTATGTTCAAGAGGCTAACTCAGCGGTGCACCTTCATTAACAATAACAACGGTTGCTTTTGGGGGAAGAGATCATTACTGGGCTTATTGCTATTACTACACAGCATGAGACAAAAATGGTTTAGAACCTAGGCATCAGGCAGAATACCAAGAATCAGAGGCAAGAGGCAAAGATGAAGAGAACAGTCACTGCGTTTTCCATGGCAGGTTGTCAAATGCTGCCTCGAAATGTGTAACTGTGTGAATCTCAAAATATGAAATGCTGAGAGTCTTGAATTGTCATTTTCAGAACAGGACAGCAGAATATTGAAGATGCTGCTTTGCTTCCTGCAGGGGCTGGCTATGACAAGACTGGCTTCCACAGATCAAGGGTATGTGGTCATCATCACTTACTATTTTATCACCAGAAAATAGTAAGATCAGTGAATATCGACACTCTGAAAACAATCACCAGGGGTGTTTGCTAATAATGATGATTCCTCAACTACAGATATTCAAACTCAGCAGGTTTAGAATAAGCAGTATAAATCTTTTTATAAAAAACTAAAAGCAAAGTTAATTTTTATGAAGGTGATATAAGAATCAAACAGTGAAAAATACAGATTGAATAATTTGAGATGCATAGATGGCATAAAAGGACAATTGTTTTTTCAAAACTTCATCTGCCATTTAGGTTTTGTGTATGTGTGATTTTATTTTATTTTTTTTTTTTAGCCATTATACTCCACAGGAGCTCTGGTGGCGTAGTGGCCAAGGCATTTGACTGCTAACCAGAAAGCTGGTGGTTCAAACCCAGAAGAATATTAGGCAATCTACTTCCATAGTGATACCACCTCGGAAACCCAAGGAGGGGTCCCTGTGAGTTGGATCCAACTTGATGGCAGTGAGTTTTTGTGAGATTATACTCCACAGAGGATTTTAAATGTTCAGAATGAGAAATCGTGTGATCATGTGGTAAATAATCAAGATATTCAAAACAAAATAATCTGCTGGGAAAAAAAAAATGTAGTGGGGAAAAAAGGATTGATTTAAGCTACTTAATAACTCACTTAAACCAAACTCACTGCCATCAAGCCCATTCTGACTTAGAGTGACCCCACTGGGTTTTCAATGCTGTAAATCTTTAAAGAAACAGACTGCCTCATCTTTCTTCCATGGAACAGCTGGTAGGTTTGAACCCTGACCTTTTATTTAGCAGCCAAATACCTTAACCACTACACCACCAGAGCTCCTTGTTAAATAATAACAGTGGTTGTAAAAATAACTGCATTTAGCAACTCAAATATATCAGATTTCAACTATATGCTAACAACTACTTTGTCATCATCACTATCAAAGCTAACAAAAATATTAAAGATTTTGGCCAAATAAAAAACAGTCATTATCAGAGATAAAACATCTACAATTATGGTTCTCAGTCCTGCCAGACTCGATTATTTTTACTTGACCTATAATTCACATGCAATAAAATTCACCATTTTAGAGTATATAATTCAGTGTGTTTTTTTTATATTCTAAAGATTGTGCAACTATCACCATTTTCTAATTCCAGAAGATTTTCATCATTTTTAAAAGAAACTACCCGTTAGCAGTCACTCCTCTTACCCCACCACCCCAGCCCTTGAAAATCACTAATCTACTTTCTGTCTCTATGAATTTGCTTATTGTGAATATTTCATATAAATAGATTCATACAATTTGTTTTTATAACAAATATTCTTAATGCTCTCTTTGTTGTTGTTAATTACTGTCAAGTAAATTCTGACTCATGGCAATTCTAAAATGAAATTTTGAGATCATGTAACCTATCTATTTATATCCATTTTAGATATGTTTAATGTGTGCATGTTATCAATGTAGGAAGTTTGGGCAATCTATTTCCGTAGTGATACTGCCTCAGAAATCCAAGGAGGGGTCGCTATGAGTTGGGTCCGACAGGACGGCACATAACAACAACTTTACAAATCTGTGCATTCCACTCGGTATACTTTTGCATTCCCCTGTGTTACTAGCTATGCATCTGTAGTAGTTATGTTTGTGTGTCAACTTGGCTGGGCCTGGTTGAGTGGCTGGGCACCTGGTGGTAATTATTCCCCATGATGAGACTGGCAATCAACTCCATGGTGGGATCTACCACAAGCAGCTGAGTAGCTGCCTTTGGGAGTGTGGTCTGCTTCCTGTATTTAAGGAGACGTCTTGGGAATGGTCTCTAGCCTATGGCATGCTTAGACCCTGCATGTAGCTGTGTCATTGCTCAGCAGCCTGCTATGCTCTGCTGACTTTGGGACTTAGAATGGATTTAAGTGAATGGCCTGCCATGTGGTTTGGTAACATCAGAACTGTGCCTTTTGATTTGTCAACCTTGGGGAGTTCTCAGCCTCAGCCAGCAGCTGTCTGAGTGAAGAAAAACCTCCAGCTTCAGTGGGCCAGGAGCAGGAGGCAGAGCTGGACCCCAAGGTTGAGGGGCTTTCACCCAGCCCCTAGAACCTGGCACTTTGAACTTGGACTTAAAGCCTCCAAATTGTAAGAATAAACTCCTGTTTGTTAAGGCCATCCCATTTGTGGTATGTTTCCTGTCAGAGCGGCACTAGGTAACCAGAACAGTATCTATAGCATCACTTTCAGTGGCTGAAGGAATTTCATCAAGTGGATATTGCATAATGCATCTAACTAATCTGGCATTATTGAAATCTACATTTTAATGCTATTTAAAAAGAAAAAGAAAAAAGACCAGTAAACCAAGTTCAGACATCTCTGTTTTATATTTCAAAAATTGACTTTCAAAAGAAGCTAGTGGCCTTATATCCTTTTTTTACTGTCTAAATATTTAGTGTGAGGGTAGACAACAGAATGGAGGAAACCTTTAATTTCTCTCTGCCCACATTACCAAATTGTGTGTTCAGAGTACTCAGAGGTCCTATTTTGTAATAAAGAACTTGGTGACCCATTTGTTAGCACTCCTAACAGGAAATTTACTCCTCAAAGGCACAACACAAAGATTTTATAAGTCCTTACAGTAGCTTTCTTAAATGTTAAAATCAAATGAAATAAGGTCAGAAGGAAACTACGTTTCTTTGCCATTGTTTGGTGCCAACTATTACCTTATCCACTCAGCCAGCCTCAGAGACATAAAACCTGAATTCACAAGGTATAACATTAGCACCCCAGCTTGACTTACTTTTTTTGTTTTTGATTTCTAGCACTGCAAAAATAACCTTTTCTTTGACTCAGTGCTTGGGACCCAGCTGCAAAGGAATTTGCATTTGTATGAAAGGGCCTGAAACCCAGCATCAGAATCAGCCTGGGTATTATTCCTCTGTTTTTACTATGGAAGCAGAGACTATCTCAATAAACCCTCCTTTCCTCTCCTAGCACACTTAAAAATACATTTTTGATCTCCACTGACTCCATTAGGTTTGAACTTTAATATTAAGTACATAAGGAGGAAAAGAATAGATGGAGGGAAGGAGAACAGAGAGAAATACTGTACCTGGAATGAAGAGGAGCCTCAAGGACTCCCACAAGGAATGAAGAGAAAAAGTACACTGTCAAAAGAAAGAGAAGGTGCATCCAAGACACCCCAGACCTAACATCACCTGCAAATCCCCACAAAGCATTCACGCTGTGTCTCAGGCACTACCTCACACAGACCCCTTTGACTTCAGCTTCTGTCTTAGGACTTCCTGATGTAGTTTCTGCTTTAGCACTTGTACAATAATAATTTTACTACAAAAGGTAAATGTCTTGTAAACTAATGGGAAACATATTGTTTGGCACAGTTTATAATGTCAGGATTTATAGCTCTAGCAATGAGGGTCTCTCTGACCTCGAAGATGACATAATGAAACATCATTGTGCTGAAAATGACTCAGTTTGATGTTTTATTAGTTCTCATAATTGCCCCTTATTAATTTGTATGCACATAATAAGCACTCACCTTCACAGTCTGTCCAGCTTCAGGGCCATCCTAGAAGCAGAAGGAAAAAAAAAAAAACAGGTGAGGACAGATAGATGGTATCTCCTGCTTATTCAGAAATATTGCCCATTAATAATTTAGATCCAATTTCATTGTGTGTTAATTTATAGTAGTCTCATGGGGACCATTCACTTCAAATGCGTGGGATCAGACACTTCTCCATTTCCGTCGGAAAGTAAGTGAGAAGTAATGTATAAAAACGATATGATTTATCCAGTGAACCATCCCCCTTGCTACTTTTCATGCTCTTTGCTCTTGGCTATAGATTAAATTGCATCAAAGGAAGGCTAAAAACATTTGGGGAGGTAAAGTAGCATACCTTTTGGTTATCTTTAAATAAGATATAGTCTAATTAATGTCAGATCACTTTATGTCTCTATTCAGGAAGTTGGCTATAAATATAATCCATGAAGTAAGAACATGGGATCTCATACAGGAAGAGCATCCAAGAAAGACTCTTCTCTGGCTATTCTCAACTGGGGGAAGAGAAGTGAGAGTGATCTTTTGTAGCTAGGCACTTCTTCCCCCCTGCTACCTTCTTTCAGCCTTCTGAAGTCCAACAAAATTATTTCCTTAGTTGAAAATGAGGAAACTCACTCAGCCACCACCCAAAACACAAAAACAAAGCTTTTGCTTGGAAATCTACCTCTCTGACCCTCACTGTTATTGCCTAACTAATGGAGTGAGAATTCCTGCAGTGGTGAGGCTTAAGTAGAATTGTGTACATCAATGGTTTTCAAAGTTGGAGACATAATCCAGTGGGTTACGAAGTTAATTTAATGAGTTGTGACCTGCATTGAAAAAAAAAAAAAAAAACAGAATATAATAGGAGAAGCTCTGGTAGCATAGTGGCTAAGTCACTTGCCTGCTAACCAGACGGCTGGCGGTTCAAACCCACCAGCCACTCCTCGGAAGGAAGGTTGGGCAATCCTACTTCCTTAGTGATACTGCCTCGGAAACCCAAGGAGGGGTCGCTATGAGTCGGGGCCGACTCGACGGCACATAACAACAACAACAATAGGCTCAAAACTGTCAGAGTACACAAAATATTGTTTTGTGAAACTGTGGTTTCTTTTATTTGTACAGGTGTCTATGTATGTGGTATAAGCATTCCTGGGGCGGGGGCGCAAATGGTTAGGTGCTCATCTAACCCAAAAGTTGGTGGTCAGAACCAACTCAGAGGCACCTCAGAAGACAGACCTGGTGATCTGCTTCCAAAAGGTCACAGCTTTGAAAACCCTATGCAGCACAGTTCTACTCTGCACACATGGGGCCGCCATGAATCGGTATCAACTTGATGGCAACTAACAACAGTGTATATGTGGGACAGAGTGGTGCACACATGATGGCAAAACAGAGTTCTTAATGTGGTTTACAGTGAAAGAAAAAATGTTTGTGAAACTCGGCATATATGAAAGTACTCTCTCAATGCTATGCACATCCCACTCCTTCTACTTATGCATTTAACTATCCTGTGAATCATATTAGATAACTAGCACTGATTATCTCCTGTATTCATGACTTTTCTTCTTATATTTCATTAAACACTGACAGAGTCTTCATCCACTTGGCATCATTTAGTCTCTCTAACTACACAGGTTGCAGCATAAATTAAATAAACCTATTCTAAGCTGAACAAGGTGTCTATATGACTCAAATGTTCCTCTCTTACTCTCTCTCTCTCACACACACAAATGGTATTTTACAGGGAAATTTAGATACTGTCACAAATGGCAGCAAAAAAAAAAAAAAAAAAAAAATTCTCCCTTGAGAAGCAGATGCTTCAGAACTTTTTCTAACCTGAAAACATTGGCTTTCTATATCTGGTCTCTTTGGCTCTCTAAGGTATAGAGTGCTGATGAGGACAAAGAAGGGAAGGTGCTAAGTACAAAGTTTCACATTATAGAACAATCAATTTCTTTCCAAAGGGTTATTGCAGAGTCATCACATTTCAGAGGCACAAAGGACTTTAAACCTTTGACTAAATGGTGAGTTGATGCCCCCAGTTCTTTCCATAGAGGCTCTGAAGGGGCTCCTCATATGTTTCTGCTCATTTACTCAGTGCCCACAGCTGATGACCCATCATGGACGTCCCCTCCTTGATGTGTGCTTGCTCAAGCTTTGTCCAAAGACCTCTGGAGATAGTCATCTTGTTTTGTCACTGGGGAGTTGGCCACATCCAGTCAATCCAGCTTCTAACAAATCTATGAGCAGTCACTAAGACTTGATTAAAGGGAGAGAAAAGGTAAGGCCTATGAGGGCAAAACTCAAAAACTCCCTGCTGTCGAGGTGGTTCCGACTCATAGTGACCCCTCCTTCTGTTTCTGAAGTGGTATCTCTACAGAAGTAGATTGTCCAGTCTTGCTTCTGAAGAGTGGCTGGTGGGTTTGAACTGCCCTTAACTTACATATCACAGCACCCCGGAACTAGAATAGGGCTCAGCCCATACAGTGCTTAAAACATATTTACCATGGAATGGACATGACATGGTGAAACCTAGTTCCAGTAAAAGATTTAGAATGTCTTAATGACCACTAATCACATGTCCGTTATTCCCACTTGCCTCATAAACAATGCCATGGGTATTGCCTCAGCTGATGTTCCACAGGCCATCTTGAGGTCACTGGATAGGAGGGCTGCCCTGGATCAGTAACATATTTTTCTGCCATTATATAAGATGATAACAACCAGAGCTATTCACCAGGTGAGATGCCAGGTTAAAAGGAACGGAGAAGCCAAGGCTAGGATTTGAAAAGGAAGAAAAATCACTCTGGGGCCATCTGCATACTCACCTGCATGGAAACAGTGAGAGAAGTGCCTTGGAAATGCCGCTCCACCACTGTCCCAACTCTCTGGGTTGCCTGAAACAAATCGGCCACTTCATCAGGACGCAGGTCACGGAAACGCTCCACTGGCCTCAGTGGACACACGAGGACATCTGCAGAGAGGTTAGTTAAGGTACATACACACTGCTTGCTTTGGGTAGGATTTTCACTGAGCAGTTTATACCCACAGTATTGAATTCCCTTGGCCCAGAGCCTGAACTCTCAAAGACTAAGAAATGAAGATGCAAATATTTACCAACCACTGAACTCCAAATAGTTCAAAGAGAAATTATAAACATGGTTAATTATACTTTGAAGGAGCTCTGGTAGCATAGTGCCTAAGGCACTTGACTGCTAACCAGAAGGCTGGCAGTTCAAACCCACCAACCACTCCTTGGAAGGAAGGTTGGGCAATCTACTTCTGTAGTGATACTGACTCGGAAATCCAAGGATGGGTCTCTATGAATCAGGTCCGACTCGATGACATATAACAACAACAACAATTATACTTTGAAGGAGAAGCTGTGGTGAGAAGAACTTTTTTCTTTTCAAGAAAATGGAACATTAGAGTAGAGAGAGACTGCAGATGTCATTGAGATTATGCCAAGAGGCAAGATCTATTCTGGATTATTATCTCCTGACCCTATTCTAAAACCCTTCTCACTCCAAGCTGCCAGACTTGGAGAAACAGGTGAAGAAGCTGGTTGGTTTCAGAATTAAAATTTAATTTTAATATCTTTTTAGAAAAAAAGAGAAATTGATAACAAAAGTATAATAGTAGTTGTTTTATTTTATTTTTTAAAAAAAAGTATAGACATGCTGAAAATGTACCTTGAACCTCATCTATAACCAAAAGCTAATGCTGTGTGGGTAAGCAATTTATGACAATATATGACTGATTATTGAGAAGCCAAAAAGACATTTGAAGGGAAATCATTAATTTAAGCAAAGGCTTATACAAATGATTCATCTTAATGCATTCTCTGAATTGGACATCAACATATTTGCATTATTGATCTGAGCAAACAAAGTCTAGAGAAAACGGATGTAAGTTTGATCACTTATAGGTAATGAATTAATACCACTGTTACATCACCAGTACCATTTCAGTTCCTTTTCGTATTTGAACTCATCACACACACACACACACACACACACACACACATCCCATATATTACTATCTGTTTAGCTTTCAGGCACCAGCAGGAGGAAAAAACACTGTTACTTTTCTTTCTTTCTTTTCCCTTCTTTTCTTGTTTTAAGAGAACATGCTTCTGCCTGGAGCTGAGCGGCTAAGGGCATTAAAAAAACCACAATTGTGCAATTGTTAGTGTCACCAGAATATCAAGCACTTTAACCCATCACAGGATTGGTGGAACTCAGGGCCCAAAGCAAACTGCACGCAGCTCAGCTGGGTGGGCCTGATTTCCATAAGAGAGGGGGGAAAAGAAAGAGGGGAAAATGGATTAATTTTGCTCATAATCAGGAAATTCATGTCAACCGGTAAACTAGGAAAGGGGGCATTTGTTTAATCTGAGTTCATTTTTCAAGAGAGGAGAAGGGAGGCCTTCACCCACAGGGCATCTGATACTTAAAATGATAATTATCCTTCTTTGGCAAGGCTGCTTTATTATCATGGGTCAATGAACCGTTTAGAAATGAAGAATTTCCTTTCATTTCCTTTTAGCAGATTGCCAGCCTCCACTCCCACTGAGTTGCTTTTTCTTTGTTAAAAGGGACCTTTCCCCAGCCTCCTCCTCCTGCTTTTATTTATACCCTCCCTTAGGCCCTGACTTCACTAAACCAAAGCAAGATGACAACCTTGCAAGCTTCCAACAATATCCATAATTGCTGTTTGAGGCTATGTCTACACAGAGCAACCAGGTGGGGAAGAAAAAGCATTTTATTTAAACAATTGCTTACTGTGGAAACTGGTGCATGAACCTGACTATTTCTGTATCTAATCTGACTTTTGTAATATCAGTGGCATTCAAAGTTTTTTTTTTTTTTTTTTTTTCCAATACCACAGAAAATGTAGTTTTCATGCTGCTTGCCTGATGCTTTTCATACTGGCATGACCCAATGTTTAATGAGTCAAAATGTTAAGGGTTAGAGCTATCAAATGTTTTGCCTTGTGTACTACTCACCAAAGGCTCATATATACATGTCTCACTGTTGCCAAACCAGTTACTGTGCAGTCAACTCCAACTTAAGGTGATCTGTGTGTGTCAGAGTCAAACTGCTCTGTAGGGCTCTCAATGACTGGTTTCTTGGAAATAGATTGCCAGGCTTTTCTCCAGAGATGACTAGTACTTAACATTAATGACAGTAACACATCATGTCACAAAATGGTTAAACTGGCCAAACAAATTCTCATTTAGATGTATATTTTTCACCAGTCTACTGTCCGGATAGGAGCTCTGGTAGCATAGTGCCTAAGGCACTTGACTACTAACCAGAAGGCTGGTGGTTCAAACCCACCAGCCACTCCTCATAAGGAAGGCTGGGCAATCTACTTCCGTAGTGATACCGCCTCAGACACCCAAGGAGGGGTTGCTATGAGTCAGATTCAACTCGATGGCAGTGAGGTCCTGATATATATACATTCCCCTCAATACAACTCTTCGTTTCAAAGACATCTTATCAGGAGCTGTTGCATTGTGGGAAATTGCTGTCAATGTCATGAGACAAAGTGTATGTCAGCTGCTGTATGGAAAGTGAATTTGCTCTGTAAACTTTCACCCAAATCACAACAAAAATTTAAAAAAAGAGGAGGAAAAAAAAAAGAATTTCATCTTATCTGCTCATAACACAAATACAAATTTTATACAAATGATAGCAAGGTAAGATAGAAAGAACTTTTAAGGATGTTATTTGGACATGTGCTCATGTTTTTTACCACTATCTTTGTTTACTCTGGTGACCAGAGGATAAATAAATGCATATGTCTTGAAAGAAAACACTGTGTTGCCCAAATATGGTGGATATCGTGTGCTACATGTTACTCCTGGAGAAACAACTCAGGAAAACAAATTATGTTTGAAGAACAACAGATAGCTCTTGTAATCATATTGCCACTGTTTTTATGCTAATTGTTCTAAGACAATATCACTGCTATGGAATAATTTAATTTGGGGACTCTTAGGTCTTGCTAATGGGCAAATCCCATATTATAACAGGCTTTAAGGACATGCCTTCTCCTGGGTCCAGTATGCTTGAGAAACCTCTGAGAAGATTTCTTAGCCAACATGCATGATAACCTTCAAAGAAGTCAATCTATTCTACTGAATTGTACATATGTTTACTTAGTATTCATCATGTGTGAAATCCTGTGAAAGGGGTTATCAAGACAGGACCTGATCTCTCCCTGTAATCCAGTGTAGAGAGGCCCATTTAGTAATAACATTTTTTAAAGGGAGAGAAGGGCAAGAATTATAATTACAACAAAGGGATTCCTCATAGTAAAGGAAAATCAAGTAAGTCTTCTTAGAGCAGATGAGATTAAATTTTATCTTTAATATGTAGTTAAGACATTGAGTTGCTAACCAAAAGGTTTGCAGTTTAAATCTACTAACTACTCCATGGGAGAAAGATGAGGCATTATGCTTCTGTAAAGATTTATAGCCTTGGAAACCCTATGAGACAGTCCTACTCTGTCCTATAGGGATGCTATGAGTCAAATCAACTCTATGGCAGTGGGTTTGGTTTTACAAATGGAGAGTAATTCAATCAATGGGCTGAAGTGGCATTCTACTCATCTATCTATTCATGACACAACTGGAGCCTCCTCTCAGTCCAGGCTAGAACTTAGGATGTCGGGGGTGGAGATAACAGAGTAGCTGATCTTGAAGAGTTCACATCAAACTGTCCTCCAATGTAAACAGATCATGACAACAGACAGAGATGAGTGTTGTTGATAGAAATGAGTACAAATGCTGTGAGAGTACAGAGAAGACAGTATCTAACTCTGCCTAGGGGTGTTAGATAAATTTTTCTGTCTCTCTTTTATTAAAATTTTCTAACATCAGAAATCATTTCTCCAAATTTGGACCAAATTCTATCCTTGAAAATAGCCTAGCAACTTAAGGCTAGCTTCAAAGGAGATTCTCCAACATTCCTCATTTGACCAAAATCACTGTGTCCTCTATATGTTGCTACTGTTGTTAGCTGCCATCAAGTTGGCCTCTGACTCAGAGTAACCCCATGCTCATCAGGATCAGACAGCTGTGATCCATAAGGTTTTAAATACAGGTATGTGTCACTTAAGGTCTGTTCAAGCACTGTATATATGACAATGATCCTATAACATTTTTTCTTTGTTCTTTAAAGGGAAAGGAGTTCTCCTTTTCTTATTATTCCCCCTAATGGTTTTAAAGGAGCTCTGGTAGCATAGTGCCTAAGGCACATGACTGCTACCCAGAAGGCTGGTGTTTCAAACTCACCAGCCACTGCTCAGAAGAAAGGTTGGGCAATCTACTTCTATAGTGATACTGCCTCAGAAACTCAAGGAGGGGTTGCTATGAGTCAGGGCCAACTCGACGGCACATAACAACAATGGTTTTAAAGACTGTAAATCCAGATTCTTGCAGCACTGAACCATGGGATGTAGGCAGGTGGGGCAGAGGACAGGGCTGTGGGCACAGGCTCTTAGTACCGCAGGCAGGTGGGCACAATGTTGAGCAGAGCTGGGTGGTCTTGCTCCACTCCCACCACCCTCTCAGCCTGCCATCAGGGCCACAGCTCGTTCCTCCAGCCTATGCCAGCAGCTCTAGCAGCAGGAGCAGCAGCAGCAGCAGTGGCAGTGGTCACAGCACCAACAGGGATGATGGGAAGCAGGTTCCCATAAAGTTTTAATATGGTGTTCAAACAATACATTCAAATAACATAACATCCTGTTTCACAGAACCTATTGCAGATGTTAAGTGACACATACTTGAACTCATATATTTCATCTTTCCAAGAAAAGATAATATACTATTACAATTCCTACTTTATAGATAAAGGAATCATGGCTTATAGAAAATAAGAAACATGTCCAAGACAACACAGTCAATATGAAATCAAAACTAGAATTTAACTCAGGTCTATATGACTCCAAAGTCCATGTAATTAA